CGTCCAGTGGCTGGCTGGGTGACCGCGCTCATGATCAAGTGAGCGTCGACAAGCGCAAGAGAAGCGTCCTCGAAAAGACAACTACAATAACATTGCGTCAAAGTACATATACGAGGCTCGAGAACGAGTCGTCCGAGTGCGAGCAGTGGCTCTAGGACTCGAGAAATGTGTACTCCACTACGTCATAAACCTAACCTACCAAAAATAACATATGTTTTATGTATGGGGGTGTGTGCGCGTGCGCGAGGTGTGTGACGTCACACGTGACGTCATAAGCATGATTGCCAACAGCCACTAACAGCATCGTATTTAATTGTTAGTTTTGCTATAGTGTTGAATGTATTTGGACACTGGTACACACACAGGCTTGCTGCTGTGTCGCCTGCGACGGGAGCAGACACTCTGCGTGTGGTTGGTGCAGGAGGTGACGAAGATGCTGGAGAGTGAGGGCGCTCGTGGAGCTGGCAGCACCCGGCGGTGGGCGGAGCCTCACTGGACCCCGGTAACCAGTACCGTTAGAGGTCAGCAGCGTCTGTGTGTACTCACCTAGTTGTACCCACCTAGTTGTACCCACCTAGTTGTACTCACCTAGTTGTACCCACCTAGTTGTACTCACCTAGTTGTACTCACCTAGTTGTACCCACCTAGTTGTACTCACCTAGTTGAACTCACCTAGTTGTACCCACCTAGTTGTACTCACCTAGTTGTACTCACCTAGTTGTACTCATCTAGTTGTGCTTGCGGGAGTTGAGCTCTGGGGCCAGATTCACGAAAGGAGTTACGCAAGCACTTACAAACCTGTCCATCTTTTCTCAATCTTTGAAATTAAAATTGAAATAAGTTTATTGAGGTAAAATACACACAAAGGGACGAGGTAGCTCAAGCTATTCTCACCCCGTTCAGTACATCGTGTTAGTACATACATATACACACATCACAAACAATAAACATATTACCGAACATTCTGAGAGATAAACATATACATTTCCTTCTCAATCTTTGGCGGCTTTGTTTACAATTATTAAACAGTTAATGAGCTCCGAAGCACCAGGAGGCTGTTTATAACAATAACAACAGTTGATTGGCAAGTTTTCATGCTTGTAAACTGTTTAATAAATGTAACCAAAGCCGTTAAAGATTGAGGAAAGATGTTCACGTTCGTAAGTGCTTGCGTAAGTGCTTTCGTGAATCTGGCCCCTGGCTCTTTGGTCCCGCCTCTCAACTGTCAATCAACTGGTGTACAGATTCCTGAGCCTACTGGGCTCTATCATATCTACATTTGAAACTGTGTATGGAGTCAGCCTCCACCACATTACTTCCTAATGTGTGTGTGTGTGTGTGTGTGTGTGTGTGTGTGTGTGTGTGTGTGTGTGTGTGTGTGTGTGTGTGTGTGAGTGCATACACGTACCCTGCCCACCACTCAGTACAGCCTCCTGTTGAACGGGGGTGCGAATAGCTTGAGTTACCTCATCCCTTTGTGTGTATTTTACCCCAATAAACGTATTTCAATTCCAATTTCAAATTCCAGCTCTCCACCACAGCACACAGTTGGTGTATCCGGAGGGGGGGGGGGGGAGGAGAGGGCTGAGGTGAATTGGGAGTACCTCGCAGGAAGGAAACAAAGAGCCATAGTGAGAGAGGAGATACCAAATGTCCCTTTGAGATGTATCTTTTTCTGTCTCAATAAACATACTTGAACTTGAGGTACGAAATGAACGTCATGACGTTCTTACAACGTTGTATAAACGTAAAATGAACATTTGGGCTTATGTTGTGTGCTTGCTACAAGGAGACCATCCTGATCCTGATACAAGCAAAATACCTGACAGGACATTCTCTTCATATTAATGTTTGCTGATGATACAAAAGGAATTAGGAGATGAGAATTGTGATTTTGCTATTGTCAAAATCAGACTGACTCACTTCAACCAAGTTGCTGGAACACGCCAGCTGAGCTTGGTCCCTGGTACGGTAATTATCAGAATGAACTAAGCCAGTACGACTATATAGCACTTGGAAGGGATCTGACGAGAGGCATTTAGGATAGGAAGGAATGGTGCCCAACCACTTGGACGGTCGGGGGATTGAACGTCAACCAGCTGGAAGCGTCACCGTCGCTCTACCGTCCATCCCAAGACAGAACAAGAGTCAGAAGACCAGCCTGGAGCACACAAAGGAAGAGAGAGAGAGAGAGAGAGAGAGAGAGAGAGAGAGAGAGAGAGAGAGAGAGAGAGAGAGAGAGAGAGAGAGAGAGAGAGAGAGAGAGAGTGTGAGAGAGAGAGAGAGAGTGTGAGAGAGAGAGAGAGAGAGAGAGAGAGAGAGAGAGAGAGAGAGAGAGAGAGAGAGAGAGAGAGAGAGAGAGAGAGAGAGAGAGAGAGAGAGAGAGAGAGAGAGAGAGAGAGAGAGAGAGAGAGACAGCTTCCTGCACCACAAAATAAGATATAACATGCACCATGAGCCAAATTATATTGACGAGGCCAAAATATAGTGTCGGAGGTAC